TAGCATCATCAATGTATGTGTTAACTGTCAGTGATAGGAGCGGAATCCGATCGTGAATGAGGTGACATACAGACAATATCATTGTCTTTCACAACTTGTATTCCTCATTAGGCGAAAAGGTCGTATATAAATAAATAAAATAATAAATAAATAAATACTTACTAACAATCACGCCACGTTAACCGGCCCCGTGATAAGTTCGTAAAGAACTTGTGTTACAGGTACCAGATAACGGATATAAATTTAAGATTTTTATTATACACATACATATATTTAATATACATCCATAACCCTGGAAAAGACATTTATATTTATCATACAAATATCTTCCCTTGGCGGGATTCGAACCCGTGACCCCTTGTGTAGTGACCATGTCACTTACCACTACACCAGACGGCCGTTATGTCGGCATTACGCCAGGGTTTTCACACATAAGATCTATTACAATGAAAATACAATACAATTATATAAAACATTAATATTACTTGTTTATTATTACAGAAAGCTACGTCTTAGTTTTTACACGATTAGGAATTTTGTGATGGTTTTAGCAATTAACACTTCTTTTATACAAAAAAATGTAATTACTGCGAAACAAGTCACAAAATATGGTTTAATACTCAGAATACATATTTTAGGGATTTTTACATGACTGACATAAATTTATTTTATATAATATACTTTTAACTAATATAAACTAACATTATTACTATCCAGCCTAATAATATATGGCGCCAACAACATAATCTGCATAACAATTACAATAATCGTTTGCATAACAATTACAATATTTAATTAAACTATTACTGTTGATCATAATATAAATTATTATTAATATTTATGCTTTATTACTATTTAATTATTCATCCAGTCATTTGTGTTTTTTTAAACAATAATTATAAACGTTAAACATATTCTGAACATCTTCACGTCAAAACAGTGTCTGCTAAATATTAAATAAATAATAATGTAGAATAAACTAAACTATATATTATTATGTTAACTAGTGGTCCCGCAGTAGTCGAAATTCGACTATAATTAATTGGAATTGTAAGTTTGTACACTATTATGACTGTATTTTATACTTCTATAATCACAAATATCGCCAAGACTACACTATAAAAAATATTAACAAATACAAACAATATTTAATCTATTCTCAATTTGACAACAGACGCCAAGAACAAAAGTTTGACAATAAATAGTATGCATGCGTGTGTGCGTCAAATACATGGTATGTAGTGTGTGTAATGTTTTCATTATTGATTTAATGTATCTTTTGTGCATTATTTAAAAAAAAATTAGCATTTTGCACTTCTCTATATTCTCTATAAGTGTGGAAAATTTCATACTCCTCCGTTCGCGCAATTTTCGTAAAAAGGGATACAAAGTTTTTGCTTCACGTATTAATATATAGATTATTGACAATAGTGGCGTTTGCGCCCATATATACAAATGAGCAATGATATTTATAAGTAGCCGTTTTGTATTGTTTTTATTTCTGGTCTTCTATTTCTTTATTTCAAACCTTTAAACAGAATGATTCTATGATATAAAATACACGGTCTTAAAAAACATGAGACGCGTTTTTCTGACGAACACACAATCGCAATAAGGCTTGTATTTCTGTGTACAGTTTTAGTGCTATCCAATGCTATTCCAATGTAATATAGTTTATTGGACACGCCTGGAAGAAAATTGCAGAAATTCGATTGACGAATGGCCTCGCGTTTCCTTTCATAGCTTTTGAACGGTTTGCTGTCGGGATTTTGTTCAAGATGGCCAGATGATTTTGTAGAAAAATAAATAATAATATAAAAAAAATCTAACAAAATACGCTTTTATAGAAAATCCAACTAAAAAATTGAAAATAAATTTTAATAAATTTGAATTAAAAATAGTGGAAAAAAAAGATTTTATTGTAAAAAAGTGTAGGGTGCATGGTATCAATAGTTATAAATATTTTAAGAACAGATATGAGTAGGGGGGTTATTTTGATAATATCCTGAAAAGCGCCCCACGCTTTTGAAAATCGCACGCGAGCAGCCCTTCTCAAGGCGTAGTCTCCCGACAGGAATTGAAAGAAGAGACCTCGGTCTCCCTCTTCTTCCCTCTTCTTCTCTGGAAACGCCGGAGTCGGAGATAACCCGATCTGTTACACCCCTCGACCGGGTATCAGTAAACGGATTCTCCAGTGTTAAAAAAAAGAAGGGAGAAGGCTTTTTAAGTAAAGTAAAAGGGATTCTAGAAGGAAGACATTTGACGAAATCGTGCATAAACTTGCTCTCTCTTATACTACAGTCACACTATTGCGTCAAGTAGATAACAGTCAATCACAGGCTATTCTACCAATGAAGAAACCAAAACTCCCCTCATTTCCTCATTATGTCGCAATCGTATTTGAACATTTTGTCGCGCATCATAGACAAAATTACTTAGGTACTATAAAGTCAATGATTATCTAGAAGATTGCACAAAGTGGAAATGAGTTGCTCACTCCGGGCATTTCAATATTGTAATAATTGTTATGTTATAATTACTTATTGTCAAAATGAATATTTAAAAAAATCTAATATTAAAAAAAAAAATCTAATATTTAAAAAAAAAAAAAAAGACATGCCCGCTGAGTTTCTTGCCAATTCTTCTCAGGACGGAGGCTAGTTCTTGTGAATTGGTAGTAGTTCTTTTGACGTTCAACAAGTATGTACTTTCATTTATGTTGAATAAAACTTTTTTTATTTGAGTTGATTTGAATTAAAACTACTTTTACGGTTTAATCTCGTTTTTACTCTTTTCATTATTTTATTGCCGACATATTGATAACTTTACAGCTTTCGTGCTCGCGGACGAGATTTAATCGTAAAATTCATTTTAATTATACGAATTGCATATTACAAATATAAATTGCGCACTCACCGATTTATTCTCAGACGTTTTCGCTCGCACTTATCTAAATCAGCATCTTTCTTCCTTTGATCTTTGGTGAATCCTCCGATCATGACTTCCTTGACCTTTACATTGAAAACCGATACTATGTCAGAAAAACGCTCCGGGAATATTTGACGCCGTTCATAAATTTGTTTACAAAGGTTCTTCTTCATTTTATTTCGTAACTTTAGAACACTATAAGTGTTGCGTAGAATATTCTTTTTTGAACACTAAGATTATTTTCATTTCTATTAACTAGTAAACTTTTTAAATATGCAGTTTAGGTATCATTTTCGAATTACTGTTTCCAAAGTTTCGATTGCTTTTTTTATTGCTTAGATGGGTGGACGAGCTCACAGCCCACCTAGTGTTAAGTGGTTACTAGAGCCCATAGACATCTACTACGTAAATGCGTCACCCTCCTTGAGATATAAGTTCTAAGGTCTCAAGTGTAGTTACAACGGCTGCTCCGCCCTTCAAACCAAAACGCATTACTGCTTCACGGCTAAAATAGGCAGGGCGGTGGTACCTACCTGTGCAGACTCACAAGAGGTCCTACCACCAGCTTGCAGCTTTCGTAATCGAGAGGATTATGGTGTCGAGCACTTAAATATTTGATGTAAGAAATAGTTACACATTATTCAATAAAAAAATAATTTTATTATCTCTACGACTCGCCATAAGCGCCATAATAATAATTATGTTTCTTAAACTATAATATATTTTTGAGTTTACCTTAGCTCGAGCCAATGTCCATTGTGTTTCACATCTTGAGTTCCTCGTTTAGCGAAAACGTCGGATACAAATAAGCTATGATATAGGTAAATTTAATTACTCCTACGACTCAAGACAAGTGAATACTATGTTTCTTATCTTCTATATATATAAAAATTAATTGCTGTTCGTTAGTCTCGCGAAAACTCGAGAACGGCTTGACTGATTTGGCTAATTTTGGGCTTGAATTATTTCTGGAAGTCCAGAGAAGGATTAAAGGTAGATAAATATAAAAATACTCGGAATGAAATAAAAATAACAATTTTGTTTTTCCTTTGATGTGTCCCCCGTCGGATGTATTCCTTTTGTTTGTTTTAGTTTATTTTATACAAATGTTTAGGTCTTTTGTTTATCGATTGAGGCACTACGAAGTCTGCCGGGTCAGCTAGTACTATAATATATTTCTAGCTCGAGCCAATGTCATCAGTTTCACTGATCGAATTCTCGGAATGCTTTATGATAAGGTTCCATTGTCCAAAGCATTTTCGTATTCCTTCATAAAATAAGCTATTCATACGCAGTTCGATCGTGAAGGCTCCGAATGCGATCGCTATGTTGATTTGATTCAAAGCTGAGCTTCGATTTAAATTGACATCCTGCAAATGGATATCTGTGTTTTCTTATTCTTATGAAATCTAAATTCTCTTGAAATACTTGAGGGAGTTCATATAGAGTACCTTCTTTATTTCGCCGTAAAGTCGTGTTTTATGTAATTAACACCACAATTGGAACAATATAAATTTTATTGTTGTAGCGGCATAAATAATTCTAAGTAATTATATTATATTAGTTATTTAACACATTATAAATTATTTTTACGTTTTAAATATTTGGCGGTAAAAAGGTCCCGTGTCACAGACTATATTCTTTTTCCCACATCTCGTGCGTTCCGGCTTACGCATCATAAAAAGGTGCGTTCTTGAACGCCACATACTTTATGTATTTTCTTTTAGCAATGTATTGTTAATAGTACACCGCGACATACCGGCTGTATCTATCTTTAACTTTTTCAGTGTTTCTGTAAATAATACGTTTATCTAGAAGAGATCGCTTTTAGCGAAAAGAACACCTATTGTATGAATATATCTGCGTTTTGACTGTTTTTGATTGTTAATTGTGTTTTGGTGTGTTTTAAAGTATATTCTCTCTCTCTTACTCTTTCGCTCCCTCTCTCTCTCTCTCTCTCTTTAAGTAATATAGCATTTTGATAATGGGTCCAACAAACTTTACAAAGCTCGACTTCTAACTGACAACTGCTTTATCTTTTGTTTCATGTAATGTTCCTGCAACAACAACAGAGCGCAGCTTGAGTAAGTCTTGCAGTTTTATCTTTGTATGTGTAAGAAAGTTTACCTGTCACATAAACTTGGCGGTAATGGTGGACGTGATTATCGCAGTCACTCTTATATTAGTGATTCAGCATACAATCATACAGGCCTACTTCTGATGCTAGAAGCTTAGTAAAAGGTCCCTGGTGTTAACTAAAATAATAACAATGTGACCCATCTCAAGACTTGAGGTCTAAGTGTCGATTGCATTGCATAACGGTAGTCCTACCTATTAAGCTGAAGCGACAGCTTCTGAGCTAGATGCTCTATGCCCTACCAGTCTGGATGGATAAGTTAAGCTAGCTAAATTAAGCCTTTAGGTTATGGTAGTTTTAATATTTATTATTATTTTTTGTTTTATTATATTATTATTATTTTTTTATTCCGTAATTGCAATTATTATTTTTATGTAATTCTGGTATACTATATAAAATGTTATTGTTAATGAATGTAATATGGATGTAAAATCTGATGTAAATGAAATAAAAATAAATAAAAAAGCCCTTAACTTCAACCTCCGGTGTCAAGGTTGTCGCCATACTGATGACTATGGACTCCAGTAATCACTTAACATCAGGGCGTGAGCTCTCATGCAGTAAACCATAAAAACGAATCCACACGAGGGATGAGCTTTTGTACGCTTTTAAAGAAAAGTTGATGTCGTCTTTAGGAATAACAAATTCTAGATACGTAAGCTCTTACACGTACGCACAGCGATACAGTACACTTTGAGGATCGAAGTTAAGTGGCACTGAAGCTAGCGCCAACAAATTAAGCTTGCCTAACTTATAAAGGACTCAGTAGTTTGTTTAGTTCTAGAGACAGTTAAAATTAAAGTTACGTAACACGAGGCGACCTTGTTTGTCTTGTCATTTAAATAATGTAGGCGCTGGAATGTTTGAAATAGTTATTATATTTAACATTCACTATCAAAATGGTGTAGGAAACTGCAGGAAGCTTTCACCCATTGCTGAGCCCGTAACATAAAAAACGTACTAAGTTAGATAAAGGAAAATAAATATATATTAATACTAACAAATAACAACCACCATTTAATTTTATATTTACTATACAATTAAAAGGAAATGGGAAACAAAGGTTTTTAATTTTCTATTTATTTATTTATCATTTTGAATTTTTTGAAAATATACCATCTGGTTGTTTATATACTATGACATATCTCCGATTAGGTTTTGAAGAAGCCCGAACAGTGGCCGGAGGCTTGGCCCCATTAGGGACCGTGACGAAAGCAAACAAAGCTCTTAAAATGCTTTCCTCATTTAAATTAAAAATACTTTTACATTTTACGTTTATCATTTTTGACATATTGAATACTTGACAATTTTCGTGGAGAATCAAGGATTTTGTCTATGACTCGCAAAAATTTAAGAAAAGAGAATTGGTGAGATCTCTGGGCATCTCTCTTGGCAGAATAGTTGCAGTTATCAATGGACAGGGCTGCGTCTCATTATCTATGCGACCAATACAATCCTTTATCACGAATACTAAAGTATTCGAAAGGCTATAAATAATAAAATGAAAATTATATTAAAATAAACTGTAAAATTTGTTTTAATTGTTTTTTTTTTAGGACCACTTCTATTAGTTCCCCCCAAGCTAAGTCACCGGCAAGTAGCAGCGCTGGAGCAGCTGCAGGCGCCTCCACTACAGCTGGAGAACGCACCCCGACAGCTCACAACAAACAGCTCCAGAATGTCAAGGGACAAGATCACCCGCCTCACCCATCTGTAAGTACTGTTCCCATGTCAATAAAAAAAAAGGAATATTTATAACACATTTTACAGAATTGATCTTTTGACCGAAGCTCACTTTTGAATTCTAAATTTCACTTCATTAATTTTTAGAAGCGTAATTTTTGTTTTTTTTAATAATGAAATAAAATATTCCATTTTTTAACAAAACTCCAATCATAGTGAAGGAATGGTAGAAAAATGTTTTCATATGAGTTTAATCATTTCAATTTCCATAAAAGACACGTCAAACAAACATTCTGGAATAAAAATATCTCTGGAAATGTTCAATGTATATTTGAGTCGAGATGAAATTATTAACATAAAATTTAAATATCTCAACAATTTTATTTAAATCAATCATTATTGCTTACACTAAAGACAAAATGGTAAAAACATTTTTAATTTTAGGTATTCAACTTCAATTCAAAGTGGAACCATTAAAAAATGGTATTCTTTCTGAATCTCACCGTATTACATTAGAATGAAAATTTCAGGACTAGTATTAATTATACGCCTTACAAATTTATTGAGTTGTTTTCTATCGCTTAAGTTTTATTTTACATTATGTAGTTCTATCCTTCCTAATTGGCTGTTATCAAAATTACCATTGAATTTAGTTTAGTTATTAATAACATTGTATAAATGTACATACTTGCATCTTTGAAATGTTTTGAGAAAAATTCTTAAAGTTTTAAGCTGTTAAAATAAATTTTACGGATTTCTTTACTTAGTCTTTTGATCGATATTCCTTTTGCTTGCGATCTCGTCGCTCGAATATTTTTAAGCAGTTCCACTGCGCATCCACTGAAGTTTCTGAGAATTTCAATTGTAAAGGAAATATAACTAACTTGACTTCTATGTTTTACTTACAAAATAATAACGCAAGGCTTTTTCCCTCCAAAACCATAAACTAAAATGCTTAAGCACCAGCAAGCGATCAATAATGTATATCAATTGACTGCATATCGTAACAATGTTCGATTTTTTTTCTACCTAATGGTCTAGAGAGACCATGTCAGCGTTGCTGGGCTAGTAGGTGAGCTCACGGGGCTCAAATCTGACAATTTTAGAACCTCCTTTAAAGAAAACAGAAGGTTTTGGTGCCCTAAAGATTAAATACCTTACACACCTATTTAATTTCGAAGCCAAACCAGGGTAATGAGCCACATGGATCCATAACTGGAAGTATTTGCAAAAAATATTATCATAAATACGAATTCGTAAAATTTGTTTTAATCTTATTTGTTTAGCTTATACGGACGCAAGTATGTTTATGTTAATTGTTATATGTGTCGTAATACAGTTTAACAGTGCAATATGATTACAAATAATCTAGAACCCTGTTGTAGCTCTAAAGATTGGATCACATTATTGAGTCTAAGTTCGCATTCTTAAGCCTAAGCTAATCACTTAAAAAAATAGAAAAAACGATATTAAAAGTTATTTTTCTGCTTAGTAGTTCGGTTCAAAATAAAGACACTTACCAATAATCATTTACGTGAAGATTAAATATGCACGAAAAAGAACAACTTATATTTGAGTGCACTTCGTAAATATTAATTGAAAAAAAAAGAAAAAATCATTAAAATCCCATTGGAAATTATTAAGTAGGTAATAAACGGAAAATCCTGAATTTGTTTGTTTTATATAAATTAGGCGTCAGTAACGAGAACCTTTTTATACGAAGAACAGATAACAAAGTCATATTTGAACAAGCAGTAATATAATTTTAATTCATAGGATAAAAAGGTAAAGCATAAAGTCCACTTGTTTATTGAACAGCCACCGGAACCTACGCACATCAATGCTGTCACTCATCGCCAACCATTGATGAAGAGTCAATTGTATAAAGACGGCCGTTCTATTTCAAAACAGATGTCCCGACTGCTTTACAGTAGGGCGCACACACGAGTGATATTTGCATTGACATTACGTTTTGTCAGCTTTATTCTTGAACTAATTTAATAAGATATGATAGTTAATTGTAGAATTGGTTTTGATACTACAATGCTTACGACACGAGATCTTTTTTTCCGATTATTAAAATAAATATCATACGCAGCTTAAGAGCATTTGGCTTGAAAAAAAATATATTTCCCTAAACTAGTGAAGACCACCTTTGAATGAAGATACATATATTTATTTATACTGCTTTGTTATCAATGTGACTAAATTATGAAAACCGTGTTGTATCTACGCTATAGATATAAAGATACTTATAAGATACCAATAAATACAAAGCAACCTTTCAGTCGCAGTGGGATTTTAAAAAACTTTTTACTTCTCTACTATTACGAAATACGTAGCGATTAAAATAATATTTACGATTTTAAAACAAATTTTACTTTAAAAGTAAATTTACTTTAATGAGTAATTTTTAAAGTTTACTTTGAGGCATATTGCACTGCTAAACGACTCAATGTGTGTAGTTTTGTTAATGTCTTCATTTCAGGTGTACTACGATTGTTGATTGATGTATGTGTACATTTATTAGTCCGTTTAAGTGTTATATTTATGAAGGGACAGTTCAATAGAATTTTACAAAAATATAAATCTACCGTAAGAACTAGGTTTAGAACTAGATTTACTAGATTTAGACATATTATATATTTTACATATATGTAGATAAAATTTATTTTTAAATTATTTATTTTTTCCAACTTAATGGTCTTGAGAGACCATTTCAGCTTAACCTTAACAAGTAGGTGAAGTCACGGGGCTCAAACCTGACGTCATTGCTAACACTAACCCTTTTTTTTTTTTTTTTTTTTTTTTTTTTTTTTTTTTTTTTTTTTTTTTTTTTTTTTTTNCGCCTTCTTCCTACACGAGTAGTAGATGGCGGTGTCATCGGCGAAGAGCGCCAGATGGGTCTCCGGAGACCGGGGTATATCATTGATATACAAACTAAATAGTAACGGGGAGAGGGCGGAGCCTTGCGGGACTCCGGCTGTGACGTGACGGGAGATGCTGTTATTGGGAACTTGTATATATATAAGGTTATCTTGAAAATGTCGCTAGCGAGATTCAGGCATCTGTCAAATATCTTGTGTTCTATGACGGTCACATTCTTCATTGTCTTTTTTATCGTTTGCCAATAGCCAGACATATTGCCGTGTGATTTCCTCTGATCTTATTTTACCATGTTGTTATTTCTGTCGATATCGATGTCGAAAAATATTCCTTTTCCCATCCCTAAACACGATTCGTTTGCATCGAAACAGGTACACAAATTTCCCGTTTATACGAAGCGTTGAGTTTCAATGTCCCTCGCTCGCCTTTTATATAAAACTTTTGTTAAAGGAACATTTATTAGATATAATATTCTTTTATGTGGTTTATTATTGTTATTTCTATCGTGACTTTTGCCTCGTTCTTATGAGATCCAGTCAGTTCACGCATTGTGTATTTACTTCGCACGAGTAGACACAGTTTTTACTACTATATCAATCGCGAAGGAGTTTGAAAATTTTCAGAGTATTGTTACGCGCTGGGGTTCGGGATAAATAAAAAGGGTGCGTGTACTTATGTACGCGCGTAAGAAGTTATACTTTATTTTTATTAAATTTATTTCTTTTTTTTATATATTTAATTTTTTTTTAATTTAAATTTTAATCAATTTGAAAAAAAAATTGATTGAACAACATCCTCAAACACGCATATTGGACATCCCTTTTCTTGACATCGTATAAATTCGATAATTCTCGGTACGGTTCGGAAAGTTCACCTGCGGCTATATTCAGACTCGCCAAGTTACGTCGGTCGTATTGTAATGAGCGATTTAGTGGGCAACTTCATTCTGTTAATTTTGTGTCACGGTGCGCGCACATCGTAAAATTTCACTCTCATAAATTTTTCATAACGCGCCTAAAGAAGTATAACTTCAAAAAGTTCCACCAAAGTACAAGTTAACACTGTGTTCAACACTTATAACACCTAAAACTTTTCACAAACACTTTAAAATTCTCAATTCGCTTCTTCCGCTTCGCTTCAGATGATCCGTTCGCTGCTTCGCTTCGAGTAGTTCCGATTACTGACTGACTGCGTGCCATCCATGCAACGCTTTTATAGCCGATACCACATCCCTAGAATTATCGAGAATATTCCACACCTTAGCGGTAGGCAGCGGCTTGGCTCTGCCCCTGGCATTGCTGAAGTCCATGGGCGACGGTAACCACTCACCATCAGGTGGGCCGTATGCTAGTCTGCCTACAAAGGCAATAAAAAAAAAACACATCTCTAGTATTGTGTTTCCGCCATCTGACAATAGATGACGTTGTACTTCTCGAGCGTTCTAGGTGCTACTAGGTCCTTCGATATTCTTTCGACTATTCGGCGATAGACAGCGTTACCGACGTAACAGTATTTTTTCGTAATTTACGTACTGAGACAAATACTAGGACCAGTTCAGAAAGCTGACGGTTCTTGGCACGTCCGTAAAAACAAGGTCGTGGAGAGGCTTTTTGGGGAGCCAAATATTCTGGGGGAGTAAGGGCGCGGAGGCTCGGATGGCTCCGTCATGGTTTTTTTTATTGCTTAGATGGGTGGTCGAGCTCACAGCCCACCTGGTGTTAAGTAGTTACTAGAGCCCATAGACGTCTACCACGTAAATGCGCCACCCATCTTGAGATATAAGTTCTAAGGTCTCAAGTATAGCTACAACGGCTGCCCAACCTTTCAAACCGAAACGCATTAATTACTGCTTCACGGCAAAAATAGGCAGGGCTTTTGTTAAATACTAGATGGGTGGAGGAGCTCACAGCCCACCTGGTCTTAAGTAGTTACTGAAGCCAATAGACATCTACAGCGTAAATCGCCACCCACCTTGAGATATAAGTTCTAAGGTCTCAGTATAGTTACAACGGTTGCCCCACCCTTCAAGCCAAAATGCATTACTGCTTCACGACAGAAATAGGCAGAAATGAAATCAAAATAAAGGCTTTTCTCGAATAATACAGCGATAAAGACTACCGCTTATATTTACTAAACAATAATAT